TAACAATCAATCAAACGTCGATTTTTAGCAACGTAAGACTTCAGATTTCTCGTTGAACCACTAGGGGGGGCTGGAGAGTAGGAACCAATTTGTATACATAACATAAAACACTTATCTTAAAATAAACGTTGTTTTTGTTTTGTTTACTGTTTTAAGTCTATCTTGACAAAATTATAGCTTGATATATTTTACAGATAAGTAACTTCGTACACTACCAGCCGAAGGAAATCTTGAAATGCCGTTTCAACGTTTCGTGCTTCGTTGGCTGCAGAACACTCCTGAAATGTACAACGTTGGTATATCATAGCGAAACGCCGAGCTTCTTCCTCACTGATTAGCCTGTGAAATTCCAAACATTTTAATTTAAAAATGTATAAAGATTATCCAAAAGCAAAATGTTTATTAATCTTAATTGTTCCATTACACCTCCTTTGTCTGATTCCGTTTTCTGAGAACAAAACGGTTTAATAAATCAAAGTTAACCTATACAACCGAAACGGTAAACACCTAAAGATAAATATCTACGTATCTCCCTGCTTAAATTATAATCAAAACGTTTACCTTTACTTCGCAATAATTAAGTTCGCTTACAAATAGCTTTCATTATTCGGAAACACAATTTACTAAAGAAAGAATTCCAGTAATAGGCATTCAGTCATGTAATTATGTTATCCTCTTGTTGCTTACACTACATATAACGTATGTAAGTGCGCCCTGATGGCTCAGCGGAAAGTCTGTGGGTTTATAGCGCAGTGCGCAGAGCAGATACATGTATAGTCCACTGTGTATCTTTGTGCTTAACAACAAACAAACACATCTATTTAAACTGATTTTGTAGAGAATGTTCTCGAATACACGATCTTCGTATAATTAAATATATTGGTGTTTCAAAGAAATAAAGGCTAAGATTTTTTTTTTAATTTTATTTAACGTGGGATAATGGCTCATCGCTGTTGGAAGTTTGCTTTTGTTTCAGCCAAATTGCAACATTGAAACAGGAAAATCGTCGCTTTATTTCTGTTACTTCTGGTTCAAAGGAGATAAACTACATGTAGGATTTAAAAGAGTTATAACTATACATTGCTGTTGTTTTTCAGCGAAAACTACACAATGGGCTGCATGAATTCCGTCCTCCGCTGGGAATAGAACCCTGGATTTCAACGTTAAGTCTATAATCTTACCACTGACTCACCAGGAGACAATTAAAAAATAGACAAAACAAGGTGTTGTGTGGCTTTGACGAAATACACGTGTATACATACAAAGACACGCAGCTAGAAATAATAGTTTAAAACCCAGAGGGAAATTTAAAAGGGACAGCGTTTAGGAAACACTTCTATTTGTGTTTAACTAATTTATATTAATTTTCATTTAAATATAATTATTTTAGATAAAATACCACAAATAAATATCATATTATTTATCTTACCTCATATGTGATGGGTCTTTTTTTATTACCAACTTTAAGTAGCTCCCTTGTTTTGAAAAAAACTTCGTTTATTAGTTATAGAATAAACAACGACGTAGCCACGAGTACTGTCCAAGATTCCCACGGTTTTCAATGTTGTAAAAGATGTAACATGGAAACACTAGGTTGAGATTTGGTAGACGGGTTAACATGGAAAAACCAAGTTGAGATTTGGTAGACGGGTTAACATGGAAACACCAGGTTGAGATTTGGTAGACGGGTTAACATGGAAACACTAGGTTGAGATTTGGTAGACGGGTTAACAGGAAACACTAGGTTGAGATTTGGTAGACGGGTTAATATGGAAACACTAGGTTGAGATTTGGTAGACGGGTTAACATGGAAACACTAGATTGAGATTTGGTAGACGGGTTAACATGGAAACACTAGGTTGAGATTTGGTAGACGGGTTAACATGGAAACACCAGGTTGAGATTTGGTAGACGGATTAACATGGAAACACCAGGTTGAGATTTGGTAGACTGCTTAGAAAAACTTCTTTCGTTGAGTATGTAGCATAATATCTTATCATAATCAAATGTGCATTTTTGTAAACCAGGACGGTGATAAAAAAAAACAGGTTATTAGTACTTATTAAAATTATTTAAGTGAAATCAACATCCCCCTTAACCTTTGTTATCCATACTGTCCTTATGTCGAAGACTCTTTTTGACAAGCCCCACCCCCAGTGGCACAGCGGTATGTCTGCGGACTTACAACGCTAGAAACCGGGTTTCAATACCCGTCGTGGGCAGAGCACAAATAGCCAATTGTGTAGCTTTGTGCTTAACTTCAAACAAACAATCAAACAATTCTTTTTGTCAACAATTTGTTATTGTTTAATAAAATGATGCTCTGCCAAAATAAAACCAAACTCACTGAAGTTTCTTCAATGACTTTAAAACCGCAAAAATCATTAATTATCAATTAATTATTAGTTATTTAGATCTTGTATACAATATGTTTAATGCTAGGTATTGCTCTGCCTTGAAGTCCAACTAAATGGTGCAAGGAAGTAATCAGTTGGAAAAACGAACAACCGTGAAGTTTCAATATTTTGTGCAAGTTTGACTTGCTAAAAATAAACGTCTTACATTATAAGACATCCATGCCCTTTTTTAAACAACATAATTCACGTCTTTAAGAGTCTTGAGTTCAATAAACTCTTAGCAGGATATCAAATGTTGACACATCATTTGGTTCCCCTTATTTATTTATTCTTTTTTTATATTAAATTTGCGTAAAAGAACTGTACGTAAATGTACTAGAATGCTCCGTAACGGAGCGAAAAATTATCGAGCACGTGGTTTATATTTTTTGGTCCAAAATTTTCAGTAAAAATATCTCGGATATTTAGATTACATTGAAAACGTCTCCTTCCATACTTAGATTACAGTGAAAACGTCTCCTTCCATACTTAGA